TGACCTGCAGCAGCTCTGCAAACCCTCCAGTGAAGAACTACAGCTGGTTAAAGATCAACATCAACTTCATTATGACTTTTTGTAGTGGACATAAAGAATGTTACAGAATGAATCCCAGAGATTTAGAGATTCCCATTACTTATCCCCATGAACAAAATTAGAGCCTAGGATAAGATGAACACAGGATAAATGAACTCACACCATGTCCTGCATTAACAACAGTGCAACTAATATAACATCAGGACTCTGAAAATTGCAGTTGTCCAGATAGACCAGGACTAAATAGAGGTCTATTCTTACAATATTACCTTGAATGCTGCATCTTAACCTGTGGATGAATTCTGCAAGATCCAGGATCTACTGGATCACCTTCTTGAAATATTATTATATTAAGGTAATTCCTGGTGGAGGCCGTTCTTCTTGTTCCATGTTCACATCCCTTGGGGTTGTCTTTACCATCCTGGATTGACACCACGCTCATGCAGAGTCCAGTCTCTGCTACGAGGAGAACTGCCTGGTTTCTCGCAGTATTCATCCACGCTGGGCTCCCTCAGACCTGACCAAACCCCTCTGACCGAGCTACAGGCTCGCCAAGGCTGAATTTCCCTTCTACCTACAGATCTGAAAAAGCATCAGGTTTTAAGTCATGCATAAAGTGTTGTAGTTGATGCGAGGCTCTCCACATGACGAATGGTAGCGGTATGAGAAAACGCTAAATAACCCAAGTTTAGATGCCTAGGACTGCATCAGAGGGCGGGGAGGCTTAACGTTCAGCCGGCAACGACAGGTGTTAGTTTTGAAGGCACTGACCGGCATCATTCACCAGCCAAGTTCTTTTCCTTATTTCCAGCTAAATCAAGCCTATCGCTGGTTCCTGCTCTAGCTGGGGCTTTTGCAGTCGTCATGGTGGTGGGGGCTGCTGTGGCTGTTATTTGCATCTGGAGGTAACTGAGCTCTTCTCTCCTTGAGGTTCACCCCAGGACTGCTAACCGCGTCTTCGTTTTCTCTAGTCAGTATTACTCCAAATCTGAAGAAGCCCACTGGGTTGAATTCGTCACTGCTTTTGAATACCTAGGGGGAGTTTCAATACTTGGATCAGGTCTCCTCTGTTTAACGCTTAAAAGGCACAGTTGCTTCAGCCTGTGCGTGTGGGACATTCCTTTAAACCCGGAATGTATCTGGTTGATCTTCTCTCAACTATCTCTAGAGCAGCAGTATCTTTTCTATATATCCTAACATTTTGCTTGCCTTACTTTTGGAAGTGCATTTGCTCACATGGGATACCTTCCCCCAGGAAGAGTGTCTGTGTACTTACACATGCTGACCCTGTGCTCAGATTTCACTCAACTGTGCAGTGCTGGTGCCATGTGTAAATCTGTAATCTTGAGTGGCTCAACCTTATTCCACTGCTTCTCTTTGACTTTCATGATGATCTGGCAACATTGCAGAAGCAGTTGCTCTATAAAACTGCAGTGCAATACCTATTTTTACTTGGTTTCTCTTACATACTCGTGAACAAGAAATTGTCACCAAAGGCCAGTTTCTAGTCCACTGTGCATCATCTGGCTGGCCATGTGTCAGCTACAAATTTCTCTACCCAACTGGATACCAGCATACTGCACAGGCAATCTGTGAGAACAGGCAGTTAGGGTTCTCTGGTTAATGAGATCATTAGGTCAATTAATTGACAGCTGGTTTTAAAGAATTCAGAAAGCATAGTTTTTGGTTAAGGACCTGGGAATGGGAGACTGGAGCTTCCTACTGACCCTGCTTTCCCTGCAGAAGGAAGAAGAGGCTGCCAGCAGAGGAGGGAGTGATGACTGACGGCCGACAGGTGTGTAACGAGTCACAAATGTCCTTTTCAATACCACTGCTCCTCAAGCATCTGACAGTAAAGAAGTTTCAAAACAAGCCTGGACAGAACTGCCTGAAAAATGGTCCTCAGATCTTTAAACCAGGATTATACAGCTCCAGTCCTGCAGGGCCAGACTGTTAATGGTTTTCTTCCACTTTTCTGCCCTTAATTAACCAATTAAACTAGTTGCTTAATTGAACAAGCTGAAGCCTTTCCTTGCTCCTAAGAAGCTAGAGATTTGAAGAGACCCATAAGACCTGCAGGACAGCGGCCCCTTGAGGACCGATGCTGGGCTCCCCTGCCTTAAACCCATCATCACACCAAAGCCATCAGGACAGACAGATATAGAAAAGGATCAAATCAATAATGAGATCAAAAGGTCTGGGACTGAGAGCGCAACAGTCAAAAGGACAGAATTCCCCTTCCAAGCACATCTGAACTCCAGGGTGTGGACCTCCCAGAAGTGAGAAACCAAGCTTCCATGGTGCAATGTAAAAACATGACTTCCAACAGAACCACTTCCTTTTCGCCTCCAGCACCTTGGCTTGCTATCATGCATGAGAGCCGGGGAGGGGCTCCTGATGATGCACACAAAACACAAAAGGGGAAAGCAATTAGGTTGAGCAGTTTTAGAGGCATTTTTAACACTTAATAAAGGAAAGGGAATGAAAAGTGGGAAATAAGCAGATGGTACAACACACAATTTGCATTTCCAGATTGTGTGGGCAGGACAGAACCAAACTGCAGATTCTGGGAAACTGTTGAAATCTTACCATGAGCAGCCACAGTTCAGAGCACTAACAGAGCGGCAGTGCACTTCCTGTGGTCAAGTGGTGCTGCTGACGAGGTGAAAACGTGCTGTTCAATCTCTCAGGGCTGCAGTAGAGCCCCCGGCCACCAGACGGCAGAGGAGGAGAACATGTACAGCAACATAGAGGGGCTGCCCGTCACAGGCAGAGAGCAGGCTCGGGGCACAGCTGTACAGCAGAGCGAAGTCAGCTACGCCACCGTCCAGTTCAGACCCAGGACTGCTCAGGAGTAAGTATCGTCCCCCCCCCAACTGTCCGACTGTCTGACTGCGAGCTGTATGAAGGGGTGTTGCAAGAAGGGGTGAAATGCAAATAAGATGACAAGGCTCGAGGGACTCACAGTTTCCTGGCCCACTCCCAGCTCTCCCTGGCTTCACCACTGCCACGTTCTGCCAGTTCTTGGTGTAACCAGTGCCCACCCAGCTATGGACACAGCCAAGGCTCATATTAACAGTGGCATAGACCAGACAGTGCGACTGGCGGCTGTGTGCCTTTCTGTGTTATGTGACAGCAGCCTGTTGAGAGATATCAGCCTTAATATAGTTGTTCCACAATCCCACTACATTTGCATAAAGCAGTGTCTCCTGTTTTGGATTTTAAACATGTGTTTTATATTGTTTCCACTTGTGTTCTCTGGTTCTTCACTGTTGATTCTGGAAAATAAACTTGGACACTTACAGTAGGTGTCCCAAACACCCATGGTCCACTATAGGTCAAAAACCTGGTGTAACTGATGTCTCAGACTTGATCTCCTGGTATGTTTTTGTCATTCTAAGGCCTGAGGGGAGAGATCTGACAGCTGGTGACTTGGTCATCTACAGCTCAGTTACGCAAGGCAGCATATCCTGAGGTAAGAGAACTCTAATTTGTCTTTCTTGCAACTTTAAGTTTTTCAGTTGCAAGTTTTGTTGTTTTTTTTATAGCATGGCCTGTGGAAAGAGGTTGAGGATTGTATTTGAACCTAAGGCCAGGCACAGAACTGTCTGAGATGTCACCAGTTACATGAAGGGACTGGACTTCTAGATTAGAATAGTTTTTGATTTCTTCTTTATAAAATGATCTGCTAATGAAACAGGAACTGGGATAGATGCCAAGTTTCTTAGGCTGTGATGTAACACCACTCATCACCACTCCAACAAAGCTGCATACAGCGTTGCCGGTTACACCTTGCGAGGCAATGCAGATGCTACGCAGAAGTGTGGTAGTGATGCACTTTGTTTGGGGAGGATGCTTGTTTTACTCCATGAACCTGATACGATGCTATGGGCCTTTCTTTGTTGCAGTTTGTCATGTCTGCAAGTATTTAAGTCACTGCAGCTGACAGAGAGCGGTATTGCACAAGTCCACAGTTTGTGGGAGCTCAGCTCCTCTGTGGGATTTCCTCTTTCACAAGCTTTTAGACCACATGCCTCTCTCCAGAAATTGTTTTACTTTTTCTCAGCTCCCTTTCATTATAACAAATGGCTATCCCAGCAGAAAACTCACAAAATCACAGCAACAGTGTCGTCAGACAAAATATGCAAGAGCTTCACTCCAACACGGTGTACAGAGGCAGCCAGCCAGAATGTACGAGGAGTCAGGCAATTTCAGGACTGCAATACTCCATAAAGGTGCCAGTTGCTGCAGTGAATCCTACAAGTACTGTAGCTACATGTGGCTTGTCACACAAATCATTACCATATTAAATGTTTCTTAACCCATCAGTGCTTTCCTGTGCTAATCATACTTTATGTGTACTGTTTTAGCGACATTTCATCAAGAACAATGATTACATCGTTGAGACAGGATGTTACCATATTCCAACACAACCATAAATGATGTACTGTCACAATACAACACAACACTAATACTGTCTTATTCCTATGTTTGATTATGTTTGATTTTATTACATAACTATACTGAATTAGCAATAGTATGAATTGTGATTAGAAAACTTGT